CTCACTATTCATATAGTATATATCGGACATTTTTATTAAATTTTAAAAGCTATCGAAGCTAATAAATAAAAATTGGTTTCTATAATCAAGCAAAACAAAAAAACAACAACTTCGGTCGCACGAGCTAAAATATTATAAATAAATATATATAATAGTATAACTGGTCGCGCCTTAGTAGTAATAGAAACAACAAAATTTTTAGTTGGAAATTAATAATTTATCATAACGTAAGTTAGCATTAACAAATGTTCATAAATAAGTGGAAATTTGTCGATTTGATAATGAACTTTTAAGTCCATATGAGTATATGTAAACCAGTTTGCAGTTTAATTAATCTTAAGATTCTAACTTAAGTCCAATTATTCTTCATTCAGGCTCTGTAAATATAAAAATCTATATAAAAAAAAAATATGGGACTCTTTCGTTCACTTTCAGTTTTTCGAGTGTTTCCGAATCTTACGTTAATCAAGAATTTGGATTTCCATTAATTAAAAAGTAACAGTTATTTTCTCGTTAAAAATTTGTTTTCTTGTTATGAAAAAATAAAGAATGATGTAGAGGAATCACCTAATACCAGGAAAGACAATGACGTTTTACAAACAAATTGTGAAAATTGAGCAGAACATTAACCGCTTTCGTGTTGCTTGAATTGAGAATAAGAAATCAAACACTGAGACAAATGAAAGATAGGAATAAGAGTAAAAGTGAGATTAATGAGATTTTAAAATTTTATAGAAAGATTTATGGTATATGTCGACACATTCAGTATTAATTATTCGCACAAATAACCGGTAGGAAAATTTTATATAATTTAATTATCGCATAACTAAAATTATTAAAAATTTAAATAATTAATTAAAATTCGAAAACTATGTTTTTTGTAATGAAATAATAATTTATACACATATTTTGCAAAATTGTGTTACGTAGACATTGAGAAAATGCATCAAATAGATCGAAGAAAATACTTGCTAATACTTAGATTAAAATCAAACATTCAAAGTAAATTATAATAAATGGCAAAGAAATTAATTTTCTTTGTATGGTTTCAATCAGAAATTTCTGATAATTTTTTCCAATTGGGGCATTGAATAACTTTATGACTACGTTTATAGATATGCAAATAGAAATTTTTTATGAATGAAACAGAGCAAAGTTAAATGCCTAATTTGTTTGCGTGGCTTTACTTATAAAATTTAATATATAAGTATGTAATGAATGACGTTTAATGTGATTTTTTATTTCCGATACTCGAAGCATAATAACCGATCGTTTCTTACTAGATTAATTTCATTTTTGTTGCCAGTGAACCAAACGCAAAAACAATGATTGATAATTTAAATGCTTTTTATGAATTTAGGAGCGCGTGGCCGCCAATGTTGCTGCAACATTAAAAGGAGAACTGGGTTTGCTGCAACAATATCTAAATACCTAAATTAAATTTTATATTATTAATTTAGACAATTTTGTGGCTATTATAGAGATTAAGAGAACAATGTTTTAATTAAACCAAATTTGGCAGAAAATATAACATTGTTTATTATTATTATATAAAATATATGAAGCTAGCATTTGTAACTGAAAAAAATCTAAACTTAAATAGTAACAAGTAAGGAAGGACTAAGATCGGGTGGAACCGATTATTTTATACTCTTGAAACTTGCAAGGATCAAATCCGGGGAAATACCTTCAGGCGTAGCAAAACTCTATATGAAACTAGAAAAACCGTTAACTTCAGCTGCACTGAAGCTCTAATACCCTTCACATGGGCATTCCTTATAGCAAAAAAGGATATAAAAAGATCTTGACATTAATCGATTAGTTAAAATGGCAGCTTTATACAATAGACGTCCAATCTAAACAATATATTCGTAAATTGTAGTATTGCTTTGGACAAAACTCCATGCCAAATTTCATGAAGATATTATGTCAAATAAAAAAAGTACATACAAGGACTTGATTTTGACCGATCATTTTGTATGACAGCTATATCCTATAGTGGTCTGATAGCGGCGGTTCCAGGTAGTGGGTTTTTTGGAAAAAAAGGACAGGTGGAACGTTTTTTACACGTTAAGGGACTAATTAACCCTTTGTTTACATTTAATGGGATTTAGGTCAATGGCCCTTTTGTTTACAATTTATTTACATTTTGCCGAGGTCAATGACCATTTATGAGGTCAATTTAGCCAAGTCAACAATCTTTGTTTACATTGAAGTCAATGACCCTATTGTTTACACTTAGCCATCTTATCTTCTTGCACGAATTCCGAAATATTATCCTAGAACTACTTAACTAACTAAGATTACCGATTTTAGTTGAATGTCTATCATTCGGGAAGGTTTGACGTTCAAGTAGAAGGCAAACCATCGTGCATTCATTTTCAATAATTAAAAATTGATCAAATTTAAAGAAATTTTTCTATTTTATTTCGCATGCATCTTCGTATTTGTCGTAGGTAGGCATCGTGGTAGGCATCTATGGAATTCATCACTGATTTGTGCATACACGTTTATAGAATATTCTGCCTTTAGCCGAAAATATATGAAGTGGACGGATGGACGGACAGACAGACAATCACTCAGAATTCAAATTGTCTCGTCATCTTGATCATTTATATATGTGTATATTTATATATATACATATACCATTGTTACTTATTATATTTATAGGTATATATGTACCATATTTATGAAGTTTGCCAGAAGAGCGAAAATGAGGTGTTAAAAGTAAACATTTGTATTTGACAAGATTTATTCACAAAATTTGGCACGGATTACTATCGAATGCAGCGCTACAATCTCCGAATAAATTGTTCAGATCGAACAACTATAGCATATGCTATATGAACGAATAGCATATGTCATTTAAACTGACCGATCACAATCAAGGAATTGATCTCTATAAAAGGTTGTTTTCCGTTGGATGCAAATTGTTGGCCGGTTAAGTTTTCAAATTTAGTAATAGATATAGTAGTTGGTATAAGAAATGCACCTGTGAAGGTTCTTATATAATATATTATATATAATAATTATAATATCTTCAGTGCAGCGGGAGTTACCATGATTTCTCGTATTTCCATTAAATTTAAAATTATTATCATTATACAAAGTAAATCGGCCATTGTTACCGTAATTATCATATGTAGAGAAAGCAAGGGGGGAAAACTTTTCAATTATTAGCAAGAGCCACATTGTTTTGTGTAGCAAAAAAGACCGAAATATGTTTAAAATATTTTACGAACCGGAATTTATAACGATTAAGGTTTATATAAACGAAAAAACAACTAGTATAAATCGCATAAACTGGCATAAGCACATAGCGATAGAACAATAGGTATTTTACAATTTTGTTGAGGTATTTTGTACTGTACTGAATTCAATTGGATAACTTTATTGATGCTATGAAGTTATTTGAGAAGAGAGCATAAGGTAATCCTGCCGACAAATAAATTTGGAAGGAATATTTTAGTTTCTTATCAAACTATTATACTATATTAAAAAGTTTTAATTACACAAATAGTAAAAAGCGCAAGTGCGTAAAGTAAAAACAAGTAAGGAAGTACTAAGTTCGGGTGTAACCGAAGATTTTATAATTCGCAACTTGCAAGGACTAGGTTTGGCAAATTTTATATCAGGAAGTATTGATCCGATTCAACCCATTTTGACACAAAACATACTATTAGCGAGATTTCATTTATTTATTTATTATATGAATTTCAATTATATATCTTACACATTGACTGATATTTTCGATAAAAACTATAGGCACTGGGGTCCGCATATTTAGTACTTAGAGGCTTGAACAGTTTTGGTTCGATTTAGACAATTTTTGGTCCAAGGTGGCATACTTTAAACGTATTATTCATGCAAAGTTTTACCCCGATATAATCATTGTTGCTTGATTTGCATAGAGGAAAGTGAAAGAATCAGATGGAATTTAAAGTGGTGTTATTTGAGAAATATCCGATTTCGCCGATTTTCGCACTACAAGTATAACATTAAAATATGAGAAGAATGTGATGTATCGAATTTGGTTGAAATCGGTTGGGCAGATCTCAAGATATGGGTTTTCACCTAAAAGTGGGCGGTGCCACGCCCACTGCCTAATTATGAATTTGCTTTCTATAAAGTCATCTTATATCATCCCAAAAACAAAATTTAATTTCTCTGGCGTGTATAGTGTTTGATTTATCGCGCTTTTAGTAGTTTTTAACAGTACCGTTATATGGGGAGTGGGCAGGCTTGTCACCCGATTTCACACTGACGATAGAAGTGCTAAAAGTATTTGTTTTCAGTGAATTTTGTATTATAGCTTTAACGATTTAGGAAATATCCACATTTTGAAACTGAACTGCCCCTCCCTAATGTGATCCTGCATACCAAGAAACAGTCTTGTGTCTTATGGCAATTTATTTGTTTTTGCATAATGGCGTTTTGTGGCCTTGCAGTGGCCTGATTACGCCCATCTGAAATACCAACCGTCTTACGGTACGAAGAAACATGTGTACCAAGTTTAATAAAGATATCTCAATTTTTACTCAAGTTACGACGGACGGATGGACGGACAGACAGTCTCCCGGATTTCAACTCGTCTCTTCATCTTGATCATTTATATATAATATATATAACCCTATGTCTATCTCGATTAATTTTAGGTGATACAAACAACCGTTAGGTGATAAAAACTATTATACTCTGTAGCAACATGTTTCAAAAATTGTCGCAGAAGCCTAAAGGACCAAATTGCTTAAGTCCGCCAAATTTTCAAATTATGATATATATTGACACGGAATGAAGACATCACGACTTAAAATTTACTGAAATGACAAAGCCATAATGTCCTTCGAACTCAAACACACTACTAGAAGCGCAAAGGAAGGGAGATAAAACCTCCACCTTGGAAAACCCACTGATACGAAACTTGATTTCACTCTATGTATCTAATCGACTTTAATTTTTATAACGAAGATATGACTGACCGAAAGAACAAACACGAAGTTTTATTGAAACGTTGTCAAGAACCTTGACGAACATTTGTTAAGTTTTCTTCAGATGTCTTATAGACGTATAATGCAAACTCACCATCTGAATTTTAACAGCTCTCCGAAAGTAGGAAATAAATGATTCATATAGGACACAGTTTCCATGTAAAGTCTTTTAACCAAAGCAAATGCGTATTTATATACACATATATAATGATAATAAAATTAAAAACAAATTAGAATATTAAGTCGATTGCATGACTAGCACTAGTTGGCGAGATTCAAATCCCAAAATTTATATAACAGTTATAGAATTATTCTTCAAACGGCATTCGTCACCGCCTTGTATCCAACGTTCACCAAGTTAAGTTCCAGCAACATAAATGGTTCTCAAATAAATCCACGAGCCAGATAATTTCAATAGTAGTCGATATGCATTCAGAAGAAGCGAAAATATTTTTCTGTGAATATATAATATATATTTATAAAAAAAACATAATTATAACGGATTATTGTGTGAATCCATCGGAAAAGTAGTTTGATGTACTGGAAATATAAATGAGTTTAGGTAAATACACATGAGATATATTAATGTATATATAAAAACTCGGTTTTGAAAACAAAACGAGCTTTCTTTGCTGCTGAGCGGAATAAAATCACCTAATTTAATCAAAAAACGAACAACAAAATATAACCCACCTAACAGTATATATTTATACTAAGGTAGACAGTGAATATTTACATATATGTATGTATGCATATATGCATACTCGCATAATTGACGATCCGCGCCTGTGGTCCCCCTTAAATATGTTTGTATATAACCGCTTGGCATTTTTCCAGCTGAGTCTAGCGGGCAGACCTAGCAGACCAGCTCACTATAAAAGGTGGAAGCAACGAATGCATCGCCATCAAATTCACTTCAAGTGTCTTGAGAAGAACAAAAGCGACCAATAAACTATATCTTGTAAATTCCATACGTTTAACTAAATACTAAAATACGAATCAACATGAACTTCAATAAAGTCTTCATCTTTTTGGCTGTGGTGATTGCCATTTTCGCCGGACAAACGGAGGCGGGTTGGCTGAAGAAGATCGGCAAGAAAGTTGTAAGTATTTTTACTAACGAAATTGTCTATCTTTGACATAACTTAAATTCTTGATTTTGTTTCCGACAGGAACGTGTTGGTCAGCATACCAGGGATGCCGCCGTTCAAGGAATTGCTGTGGCGCAACAGGCCGCCAATGTCGCTGCTACTGCCCGCGGATAATTTTTATTGCCATATATTGCAAATATTTGAATTACAGTTATAAACTCAAATTTTCCTAAATATGTCATAGCATTTACTTAATAATTTATTAAGTATCTTAAACAGCTTAACTGAAATCGGCACAGATCTGGCTTAACTCTTATGTATATAACCAATTTTATACTTTGGACTTTGTGGTTGCCATTATGCCAAATAAATACTACAATATTGGTCTGGTTTATGATCCGAATTTTAAGGGATATTATATTTTGAATATAAAGCAAGTTAACTTAATAAAACTAATTGATCATATGATCTATAAAATAAGTAAGTAACATAATAATAAAAATAAGAGCAATCGGTTTATAATTTCCTCCAGTAAATATTATGTTATTCATGAAACTCATTGGCATAATTTTTCATGTTTTCATAATACCGTTTAGTGGGTATATAATTGCTCTCATTCCGGCTCTTCACTCAAAAATAATCCGGATATCACTATTTCTATATAAATTGACTAACATAAGTGCATAATTAATATATATTTATAGTAGTTAATTTCTAAGATACACACTTATTTAATCACCCACAACAAGTATCGCATAATATAATATAACTTTCATTAGAGTGCTTCCGATTTGTTATTTTCTCGAGTATCAACGCAATTGAAGATATTAATTTTTTATGCGCTAAAAAGTGCTTCCTTATCGGGGTGTAGGTGTGCGCTTTGTTTGCATTAAGAAGGGGATTCTCCTAGAGTACTCTATTATATGAATGATTGTCTATAATCAAATCGGTAGAGACAAAGCTACATATGTATGTATGTATGTATGTATGTACGCCTCTGCGCTGCTATCATCGAATAAAATCACCGGGTTGTGTAAAAAAATATTATCGGCTTATCAATATGCGCCCACATAATGAGCGCCGTTATGTGTCTGTGCTCCCCCGTTGCATTTCTAGGTTTCATAATGCCAAAAGCCGACGCTTGAGCTCACTATAAAAAGTGCAGCCAATAAATGCATCGCCATCAAACTAATTTCAAGTGTCTTAAGAAGAACAATAGCGTCTAGACAAGCGCCAATAAACTACGAAACTTGTAAATCACACACTTTTGTAAGCAGAAAAAATCATATCAACATGAACTTCAACAAAGTCATCATCTTCTTGGCTGTGGTGATCGCCATTTTTGCCGGGCAAACGGAGGCGGGCTGGCTCAAGAAGATCGGCAAGAAAATTGTAAGTATTGCCACTAAGTTTTTTGGTTTATATTTTCCAAGTTTACTAACATCCCAAATACTTTTCGACAGGAGCGTGTTGGTCAGCACACCAGAGATGCCACCATTCAGGGACTTGCTGTGGCGCAACAGGCCGCCAATGTTGCTGCCACTGCCAGGGGCTAATAGCTGCCATGTTCGCAAATTACCCGCTGCCTAAATGAATTAGTGATAAATTATTTCAATTTTTATTTATTCTAACAATAAATTAATTTAAATCGATGCAAAACCAAAAGTTTGTTAATTTATTTATATCGGATGGTCTCGCTGAAAGAATATATTGTTATATCTTATATATAATAAAAATCACCAGAAAACAGCGAAAATATTAAAAACTACAGTAGAATGAAGATTTAGTAGTATTTAGACTAGGTTAGACTTTAGTTTATTTATTTATTATTATTATTTTTTTTTTTTTTTGATAAACGGTAACAAAGTCAAGTCTGCAAACTCATTCGAGTCGCATAAACTAATGGTGTTATCGGACCGCCGTTACTTAACCCAAAAGATTTAACTTCCAACAACATTTAAGTCACATAAAATTACAGAATTTATAGATATACATACATATTTATTTATTACATATAGCATTTTTCCCAAACCCTTTTTTTTTTGACATTTCATTGCGATATTTTATTATCTGGAGAAATATCTAACAATTTTTAATGTTCCATATTAAATGTGTTATAAAACTTTTAGTAAATATTTTTTAGTAAAAAATATTAAATTCTTTCTTAATACCCACCAAAAAACAATAAAAAAATCCATACATATTACTCGAATTTTTTTTATATAAAGAGCCCATAATTATAGTGCCTGTTCCAGAGATACAACATTGGAAGTTTCAACAGGACGGCCTAAAGTTAACTTTCTGCATAATTAGCATGCTTTTCAATCTCATAAATAATGTATACACATTTAAGTATAAAGATAATATAGTCTCAAATATTATGTAACATTTTTTTCCATATATAATTTTCTAAATTTGTAGAGCAGAGCTATGTCACTACTAAATTCTACAATACATTTATATAAAAAATTGCATAAAATATAACTATAGATTTGGTATTAAAAATTTTATTTTATTTATATTTTTCCTTTTTATAATTAGTGTTCATTCTTTTATTTTCAAACCACGCTGTGTAAACAAATATGAGAGCGCACCCTAGCGACGACTAGATATTGTAAAATCGATGAATATGCACACGCTTGTATGTGACAGCCAACTCGCTGCTTACTAGCTTGTCAATATGCGAATGACGGAAGTTACTGTTCTGTGGCATGCCTTTACTTCCTTTCCTGTCAAAATAATTGACCAAGGTTGGTGTACTTTTCTGTAATCTTCACAAATTAATTATAATTTTCATATATGCCAAGTGATATATGCAAAAATGTTGCATGCAAACAAACTACATAAATCAAATATATCAAATATTGTGTATTTAATTGAAGAAATGTGAATAGTGACGAAGATGTGCAGTGATTAAATGTACGCCGGTCTGACGCTGTTACATTTTACTACTTGTTAAAATATGTGACCTGCTTATAGCAGCTTTATTGCGTTCGCATTCACAGAAGCACACGTATTCGATTTATCGTTGCTAATAATAAACTTGTGGTGTTCTATTCACAGATGATCGGCAACAAGATTATCAAGCCCGGTGGCGCTGAACCTGATGACTTTGAGAAGTCCATTGCCCAAGCTCTTTTGGAGTTGGAGGCCAACAGCGACCTGAAACCCTATTTGAGGGATTTGCACATCACCCGTGCACGTGAGATTGAGTTCGGTAGCAAGAAGGTAAGTTTGAGTGTTATGAACACAAAAAAAATAGTGTACAATATGTTGTTTGTATTGCATTTGCAGGCTGTCATCATCTACGTTCCAATCCCACAACAAAAGACGTTCCAGAAAATCCAAATCATCTTAGTGCGTGAGTTGGAGAAGAAATTCTCTGGTAAACACGTTGTTGTAATTGGCGAACGTAAAATCCTGCCCAAACCTACCCGCAAGGCCAGGAATCCATTGAAGCAAAAGCGGCCACGCTCACGTACGCTCACCGCAGTGTACGATGCTATCTTAGAGGATTTGGTCTTCCCAGCTGAAATCGTTGGCAAGCGCATCCGCGTCAAGCTTGATGGCTCGCAGTTGATCAAGGTGCATTTGGACAAGAATCAACAAACCACTATTGAACACAAAGTAAGTACAGTGAATAAGTGTGTAGCAAAATCGAGAGTTTATAAATATGAAGCAAAGTAGTTTGTCCCTGTGTTGTTTGCTGATTGATTACCCAAAATCAGCGATTGTCAAACGGGACGCACATTAAATTCCAATGTCTCGTTATTGCCTTTTAATCGCCTTCGAGGCTTTAAGGCACTTCCATACATTGGAAACAAACTTATCTCAATAGTATAAATTATTGCAAAAAAGCGCATTTTGTTTTTGTTTAAATTTCGTCCCTGTGTTGTTTGCTGATTGAATTGTCAAAATCAGCGATTGTCAAACGGGACACAAATAAAATTCTTAAGTCTCGTTATAGTCTGTATTTAGCTTTTACGGCATGTAGACTTCTCCATACTTTAGAAACAATCAAACAATGAAATAAATTAGTACAAAATGCTCTTTTTGCCACGTAACGTTCTTGTGTTGTTTGTTGATCGCTGCTTCAGGTCAATAATTGTCGAAAAGAACGAAAATTAATATGTGTAACTTTAAATTTATATGCCTCAATTTTACTTTAAAAATTAAGGCCGCTTTTAAAGTTGTGCACAAAAATTATCTAATATATAAACAAATAATTTATGTTCCGCCGTTTTGCCTCCCGCCCGTCCTTTTTCAAGATCTATGGCGAGTTGGGACTTCCTACATAGGCGGAAAATTAACAATATCACCGAAAATGCTGTTATACTGTAAATGGTAAACAACAATGGTCTGGCGATATTTACATTATAGTAATTTTATTTTAGTTGTATTAAGAAAATTTATTGGTATGTCGAAACTAGCTAACCAAATATTTCTCTTCTTTTCAGGTTGATACTTTCACCTCTGTGTACAAAAAGCTTACCGGTCGGGATGTCACTTTTGAATTCCCAGATAACTTCTTGAATGTTTAATTTCTATCCGATGCGGAAAAAAGGGGGAATATTAAATGATTCTTTGGTAAATACGTTTTTAACAACGTATTTCGAAGAAAGTAATAAATAATAAAAATTTTTAAAATAAAATTAAAAATAACGTGAACAACTGTTTTGGTTTTTGAAACTGGAATTGAGGAATTTGAATATGCTTTATATATATTTATCTCTTCGTAGCTTGTGTGACAGCATGCACAAAAATAAGTGTCTCAAGTGATAAAGAATGAGTATAACAGTGCGAATAAGTGCTACAGCCTTTCTAAAAGACACTATAATATAACTAAAAACAAATTATATCGATACTGAAAAGTTAGAACCGGTAAAATTTCGAAATTTCACAAAATATTTGTCACAGAATTGATACAGCTTAAATCCATAGCTCCTATCCATAGAGATTTCATGAAATAACTGAACCAATCTACAATTGTTATGATATCTCAAAATTATTATTTATAATGTGACAGCACTTGGAGCACTAAATAAATATCACCTCCTCCACCTATAAAAAAACGGCGTTATGTAAACGTTATATAATAAGATTTACTTTTAACTTCTGCGGGAATTAAAATTTGTAACAGTAAGTCAACCTGTGGGCTTTAAATTTGAATATCACATACGCATTTAATAACGATGTAAGAATGCTCCTGCCCTGCCGTATACGTCAACAGTGCCCACCCTCTTTTTTGTATTATACTATTTCGGGGTGGTGTGATAAAAGGGGTTAATACCACCGTCTTGCTGCATGAGTGGATACTTTTACAACTCTTTATACATACTTCTACACTAATTTGCATACGAATACGCGTTTAATTAATATGCTTCTCATTACAAACGTAGGAACGTGTTAGTATGTATGGCTTTTGAAAAACATTTTTCACTAACGGGATATCAATGTTACAAAGGATTATCAGCAAACATACATATATGTATACCTGTTTGAGTATTATCATACGCCTTGTTGCACTTCATTCATAAATATTTGTTCTTTGCGTCTTAATTAAAGAATGTTGCGTTTTTGTTTGCCTAGCCGGTTTGCCTTTTTGGATGGCACATATGTAAATCCATATAAATACATATGTATGTATGTACCAATGTGTGCATAAAATCCCTTGTAACCCGAAAATTAATTGTTTAACGACATGTGTCACTCATATGGGAATTGCGCCAGTTTTTGTTTGAACATTTAAATTAAAGGCAACACATGCAATTATTTATTTTTTAACACATGTGTGTGCGTATAAGGCTTAGCGAGTATTAGTATCAAGTTTTGTAATGAGATACATATATTTTCGAAAAATGATAACAGCCTACGAAATTGATGAATACTTAATTTGTGTTAACAGACTTACCCGACTTTATACTCTGAAAATGAAAGAAATGAGTAAATTAGCAAAAGCCATATAACATTTATGAAAAAATCCATGCAATATTTATCAATAAATTTTAATGTTAAAGTATTTTTAATTAATAAAAAGTAACACTTGTATATCGTTCACTCAGTTTTGCTTTTTGCATCACACATATTTATTCCTATATCTAAAAAAAATGTAAGACTCTTTTTGCTCATTTTCTCCAATAAACAAATATATAAATAAATAAATAAATTTGATTATTGCAACGATTTAAGTGATATTTTAATTTTGTATTCAGTTAAGTCAGACCACCAATAACTAGTTTAACGAATATTGAAAAGTAACTGTTAATATTAAGTTATTTGTACTACAGGGTGAACCAAAAGCTTTTAACTCTGAAACTGAACAAAAAATCGACTGCAACTTTTTTGCACCGCCTAGGGTTTCAAATGTTTTGCTTTAAACATTTTGAATTAAAAATTTGATTTTCAGTTTTTAAGCTCAACATCTAAAGATTCAATATGTTGAAAGTCTGATGCACAATTATAAAATTTTTAATAAAAAAATTAGCAACCTCGTCCTTTGCAAAAGATGCTGGGATTAATAACTAAATTTTCAATTTAATTGAAATTAAATTTTTAATTCCGATTATAATGCAAGATATTTGGGATGAAAAATTGATGATTTTATAGTTAATATTTAAAATTCCATTTTTAATGCCAAAATCAGAATTATATATTGACATTTTATGTATTGAAGATAATGGCTCTGTGCGAGCACCAGTTCAAAATGGTAGAACACGAAGTACGCAAATTCTAAGAATTGTAAGTTCAAAAACAATTTGTTTGTTAATTTTTAGTTATGTAACTATAAGTTTGGGTAATTTTTTTTTTATTTAGGTTTTTATTTTTCGATTATAAATACAATTTTAATTCGGTTTTACGGATTACAATTAGTTTTTATTATTTTTCAGTCACGTTTTTGGACTACCTTTTGTTTTATTTTTCAATCCGGTATTTTGGATTTAAAATTTCAAAATTAAGACTTTCGGGATCACAAAATAATTAAAAAAAAATTAATTCAAATGTTAATTAAATAATTTTTTAATGCATTATTGACAACCCTGGCAACGGCAATATAAAGTTATAAAGGTTTTAGTCACCACACTCTGGCCGGATATAAAAATGCGGTCTGTTATTTAATAAAATGAAAAATTGTGTGTGAAAAGTTCAAATGTACGCTGTATAATAATTTGTATAGTACACATCAGTGACTGTTAATATTAGACTTTATTTTTTAACATTAACATATAATTTTGTTATGATTTTTTACTTTTTAATTAAAAAGAGTTATGTTGTCTATTTAGTAAAATTTCAAAGGGAACTTTTTATTTAAAGCTTTCGTTTGATAGTTAATTCTTAAGTGTATTATGATCAGCTGGACAAATTGAGTGATGCACTCAAACAGAAGTGCCCAGAATAGGCCAATAGAAATGGTGTAGTGCTCCACCATGATAATGCGAGACAATATTCAAATTTGATGACTCGCAAAAGCTTTAGCGCCTTGAATGGGATGTGCTATGACACCCAAAATATTCTCCATACTTGGCACCTCCGGACTATTACTTGTTCCGGCCTTTGTAAAATTCTTTGAACGGGAGAACATTCACATCAAATCAGGACATCAAAAACTACTTAGACAGGTTTTTTGCCTGCAATGATCAAAAATTGTATGAGCGTGGTATCAATCTCTTGCCCGAAAGATAGCAAAAGGTTTTGGATCAAAATGGGGAATATATAATTTCATAAAATGTTTTACACAATAAAAAAATCGTGTTTAAATTGCACTAAAAAAACGAAATTACTTAGTGAACGACCCAATTTAAATAATTAGCGTGATGAGCTGAGTAGAGGTCGGAGTTAAATGTTTTCCTTTTATGCCCATTTTAATCGTGCAAAATGAAGAGAGAGTGAATGTGACTGAGTTAATAAAATTTAAGCGCAATCTTTATATGCAACAGGTATAATAGTAAACGTATGTTTGTATGTATGTATATATTGCTATATTCAATCAAATCCATATGCATATTGAAAGTCATTACCGGCTGAAAAAGAACATTTTCGAAGGTAAGGTTAAGACTTACACGGTTATTGCAAACATTAATTAGCCTTTCCGTGGATTACCCTCCAAATAAATTATGAAGATGAGATGAATAAAATTTTGTAAAAATTATTCGAGTGATTTACAATTTTTTAAAAACCTAGATCAAATCAACTAATCAGAAATAAGAAATTAAATATAATCCACTATAATTTTGTTTTATTGTACAAATAGTAAACTGATCAGTTAATGGTAAGTTACCATATAATGATATTAATATTATTAATTTCTTGTATTAGAAATCTATAACAAATTTTTGGAAAATAAATATTTTCTTTGGCTTTTAAAAATTTTTGATCGATTAGTCGGAAATTTGTTTTCAGGATTTTTACCAAAAACTACAAAAATCTATAAAAACGAAAAAACGGTTCATCACGTTCACGTTCCTAACATTATATAAGACATTTTTTGTTTTGCATGTCGGAGAGTGCCTTCTGGTAAAAAATATTTTGAATTAGTAAGAATAAGAAAAGTCCGCTTGTAAGATAATCTGTCTATGGTAACTTTTACTATATATGGTACATTCAATGTGGCAGTAGGGTATATAATTCTTTTTTTTTTCCAAACTTAAAATTTCAAGTCGGTCCTAGCAAAATTTTTATACCTGTTTTAAGAACGTTTTACATCAGATTTCAAAATTTTAAAGCTTTTCCCTATAGCTTACATTTTCAATGTCGGTGCTCCTCATAAATTTAAAACTACTTCACAGATTCTTTTGAAATCTTTTCTGCACCTACATATTTTACGAGGTAACGCCGGAGGGTTATTTATAAATTTGTTAAAAACATTTTAGTTTACAATAACAAATTAGCCGATTTTTTCGCTAAAAATCGAGTTTTTTTCTTAAAAGTGTTCTAAAATATTGAAACATTTTAATTTCGAAAAGCACGCTTGCTTTACGTGATGAAAATTATTACTTAATGAAAAAATATTGATTTTTTATTTTGGAGGATCCAGCACCCAGTTACGAGCGACAACGCAAACTTACTTTTTTTCCGAGACGCTCCAGAGTAATTGCTACCAGTGCCGAATTTTTTCATATTTCTCCAAAATAATTTAAAAAAATATTCTTTAAATGTCATACTA